GTTCTCTGTCACGGTCTGTGATGGGCCTTGAGGTTCTCTGTCACGGTCTGTGATAGTCTCTGGGATTCTCTGTCACGGTCTGTGATGGTCTCTGGGATTCTCTGTCACGGTCTGTGATGGTCTCCAAGGTTCTCTGTCACGGCCTGTGATGGTCTCTGGGGTTCTCTGTCACGGTCTGTGATGGTCTCTGGAGTTCTCTGTCACGGTCCGTGATGGGTTCGGAGGTTCTCTGTCACGGTCTGTGATGGGTATGAATTTTCTCTGTCACGGTCTGTGAGGAAGGAGGGGGGGGGGGGTCCAAATTTCTACCTCTAAACACTTCAACACTCCTTTTAGATCGTGTTTCACAAAAAAGATTTTCTGCTTGTTTCATTGAAAAATATTCAGTCATTTTCACATCTAACATATGAAAAGTCAAGTAATATACGATTCATTCTCGCTAAATGACGTATAGATTGAGTTTTCCTTTTACAATATCGATATTTGATAAAATTATTTATGTTTTCTGAAGAACTATAAATGTACATGTATGTCATCCTGGTGCATACATAACATTTTCTCTCTGTAGAAATGTTACAAAGAAAATTCAACTATAGGGAAGCTAGTGGTAGAACTACAATGATAGATCCATCAACTAATTGCATGATCATGATAGGCATTAGCATTTTCTTAATACAAAGTTAACACTAATACCAAAGCATTAAGTTATTTTTTTAAGACTAATGCAAAAGTATTAACTGAGTTATTTAACTTTAAGACATAAGTATTAGCGTTTTCTTAACACTAATGCTAAGACGACACCCCTAGTCGATGCGAGATGCCAAATTGGGCAAAGCATTACACAGTAAATCAAATTGTTTCTTCTTTTTGGCTATGCAATTGAAATTAATTGAAAAGCGAGAATAAATAGGAGAGACAGAATAAAGATGTCTGTTGACGAGACATACCGATGAAAGAATATCAACGATGGAAATATGGTCAAAAATCTTTTCAATTAATTCAGTAGGTAAAAGACTTAGATGGTCGAACATTTTGTGCATATACATTCTATGAATGTTGCTATTTATAACTTTAACAAACAATAGCCGTCGAATTCGTCGCCTGAATCAATTTTTGAAGTAAACT